CCCCCCCCCCCCCCCCCCAAAAAAAAAAAAAAAACGTATCAATATCTGCATTACCAAGTCAGTAGCTCCAGCCAATGTGAAGAGAAACAGACTGAGGTCAAAGTGCTGATGGATGACCAGGTAACCGAGGTAGGGAGCCAGCAGAATCCGACACACACACAGCAGGTTGGGGATGGTCCATGGGTTTTCATACTGCAAAAGAAATAAAAGAAGATTACATAAACATGCAGTCTCATTGAGACACGAGGACTCATTTACAAGAGACTGTTTTAGACATAAAACGATAAACTACAGTAAAAATGCAATCAAAATAAAGTAGCATTATAAAACAATAACTACATGTGCTGTAAAACAATGTAAAATACTGAAAACAAGAACATATTTGCTTTGATGTTTCTATTGACATTATCAAATGTTTAAAATCCCCTAAAGAAATTAAGGTGGACAACTTCAGATCTTGTTGCAAGGTGTTCCAGGTTACAGGAGCAGAGTAGGAAAAAAGACCTTTTAAGGCCTTTTGCCAAGTTCAGTCCGCACTGAGGGAACGCTGCATGTAATGATGGCCTGAGAGCGCACGCTGTAACTGCACTGACGACGTGACAAGTAGGAGGAGATATAAGAAGGTAGCAGACCAAGGAAGGATTTATAGATGAAAATAAACTAGTGTGAGATGCTATATGTAGATAATGATGACCACCACACAGAGTGCTTTGATGAGTACGGTAGTAACATCCAGTTATGAATCTCTATGGTAGACAGCATCCAACATCTGTAAGGAGCTGGCAGGGGCCATCATGTAAATAATGTCACCATAATCAATAGGTGGTAGGAAAGGTGCAGTTACGTGTTGTCTGACATTCAGTTAAGCAAGATCTATTTCTGAAAAAGAAAAAATGCTTTAAATTCAACTTTGACTTCATGAGTCAAAACACACACCAAGAACATATTTGAGAAAAGGTTCTTTAGTTTGTTTCAGTTGGAGGGTCAATATAAACGTGCAGGTACTCAACTCCGCTGTGCTCTTGAACCTGACTGTACTTGTTTCATTTGCTGGTTATTATCATATTTGAGTGTTATGGGTGAACTAAATGGTAAATGGACTGCACTTATATACTTTCTATCTTACCAAGACACTCAAAGTGCTTTACACTACAATCTGTGCCCTTATTTACCCATTCACAGCACTCTACTAGTTCTATACAAAGATAATCTGAATGTACAGCGACTAATAGATCACATTCAAACACCGATGGGACACACATCAGAGGCGATGAGGGGTTCAGTGTCTTGCCCGTGCAGGGACAGTTCAACATGCGACTGCTGGTGGAATTGAACCCCCAACTCTCTCAATGGAGGATGACTACTCTAACCCCTCAGCCACATCTGCCCAAATGGCTAAGAACTACAAAATAATGTTGAATATTTTAGTTTTACCAGTCTGAAGTGCAGGTAATTACTCCTCATAACTTTATTCAATCCTTCACATAAGAGACTAAAAATATAGTGTCTTAACCTACAAAAACTAAACATGTGTAGCTGATAAAATAGTTTATCGTTTTCCATTAAATGATATATTGCAGCCTAGACCCGCTGATTAAAAAAAATAGGTCAATGACTTTTTCTCAATACAAGTTGGATTATTTACTATGAGACAGAAGAAAGTGAAACTGTTACTGATAAAGTAGAAATAGACAGAAAAAGTGGAACTTTCACTTTAATTGCAAGTTTAATTTCCGAACTGAAGAAAAAGCAAAAATACTACTGGTAATAGTTTTTCTTCTGAGTGGCTCTAATACTCTTGTAAAACAGTAGCAGTGGTTTTTAGATATTGTTTTGGCCATAACTGAATTTGATTTTTACAACAGGAAGTTGTCATTTTAACCAATCAGAGCAGGACTCTCTCCAGATCCTGCTCCTTGTCCTACCTCCGTTATTTGACACATAACCACTCGCACATACTTCATCCTATTGCAAGTTTAAATTTAAACATGTTCAGTTCATTCGGGGGAAGACTTTACGTTCTTGTGCAATTTATGCTTTTTTAATTGTGCACATTTACTTAAATAGGGAACTTTCAGCAGCTTGGATTTTGTCCAGTACTGCCCTCTTTAAAATACTGCAGCCTTAGACAATCAGCAGCCTACAAAGGTCCAGTGATCACAGAAATATGTTTAAATTCTCTCAGAACTTTAAGAATATACAGATTTAAGTGTTATGCAAATAAATGTGCTCCAGTCCAACCAGTTTACAGCCTCCAACTTCAGCATAGTTAAACAAGTTAAACTAAAGCAAGTATTCACTTTGTGAATACTAAATATTCAACTTTTACTAACATTATTAACAAAGTAAAGCCTCAACTAGACTAGTAGTAAAATATATTACTACTACTACTACTACTACGAATAATAATAATAACAATAATAATGATAATAATAAAATTATTAACAATGCATTCAACTTGTAAAGCACTTCATATTTGTAAGTCTCAAAGTGCTACATTTCAAAAATCATAGAAATAAAATAAATAAAAACAACTTTTTTTTATTATTTTTTGAAAGATTCTGCAGCCTGTGGTACAACTAGTACTAGTATATTAGTTATAGTACACACAAAGTACTGGTGTAGTACTTAAACTCATAGTACTCATGATAGAATTATTTAGTATAGTAACAATGCTATAAGTACTGATTTAATCAAAAACTGTGCTTGGACATATCTTGTACTAATATACAGTAGTACTAGTAACCAGCTAGTAAAAAAGTAACAATCCTACTAGTACTTGTGCTACTATAGTATTATACGTTTTAAGGGCTTCTTTATTTTTTTCAGTATTCAAATTTTTTTTAAAGCCTCTTTTCGTGGGTTTCATGAGCTGGAAGTCCAAATTATGTAAAAATAAACAAATAAATACTTGAAATTGTTTAAATTGTGGGCCCTGAATCTATCATCTTTTAAAGATTAACTTTTTGAATGGAATTATGGAAGTTAAACAACTTTTCCATGATATTCTAATTTTTGGAAATGGTTTATAATGCATGTTAAATCAACACAATGCAAATGCTAACAAGTGTAACATCTAACAGCAGTAATCAACAAAACTGATTCAAAAGGTAAACATTCTCAATATCCCACTCACAAACACCTTTGGTTTGAGGAGCCTTAAACAGGTGAAACCAGTTTGGTGGTCCGGCATTTCGTCTAGAGGTTTATGCTCAGGAGTCCAGAGTCCAGCTGTCCGATCTGAAGGTTTTCATACAGTTCAGCACGGCCCTCTTCTGGCTTAAGAGTCAGATGCTGGGAGGACCTGGATCTTCTCCAATACTCTGCTGGTTGACTTCTGGGTTTTTGTAAAGACTTCTGAAGTCTTCAGATGGTGGAGGAACGAGTACTAAGACTTAACATCTACATGCTCCTCAACGTGTTGATACTGCACTTGTTGTGAGATGTGCCATACGCCGGAGCTTCAGACTCTAATCACAAATCAGTTCCTTCAATAAACATGCCTCTATCTTTTCACTGGACCTTGAAGAGGCTGAGATTATTTGAGGCTAACTCAGTGAGGTTTGTTTCTGCTTCTACAGAGGCAGGGGAAGAGCTGAGGAAAAATAAAAATTTAAAATATAGATTTTTTTTTAATTACTTTTATTCAGTACTGCCATAGAGTCTCACCTAATTAAGTTCAAGTCAACTCTACTATCATTTCCATCCCATGTGGAAGGGAAGTCTGAGATTGTCATGAGTGTATGTTCCCACATGAAGTGGAACAAAATTATGTACTCAGGGTCCCAGTTACACCCAAAAATAGCAAAATATAAAGTATAGTGTTTCACTAAATAAGAATCTAAGATATGCGCTAAACACTGATAATGTAAATAATATGGCATAATAACAGCAGCTCGAACATGAGTCTGTGGTAAACAGATGGATATGAATGAATACAGCAGCATGGATAATCTGCAGCACATACAAGTCACATATCATTAGTTAAATGGAATTACAGTGACTTGTTTTCCCTTTTCTTTACAGTGATTATTCTGGTTAGAGATTCAGGAGTCTAACAGCCTCAGGGTAGAAGCTGTTCCTCAGTCTAGTGGTTCTACACTTAATGCTCCTCAACCTCCTCCCTGAGGGGAGCGAGGCGAAAAGTGTGTGTGCTGGGTGAGTGGGGTCCTTCATGATGCAGGTGGCCCTCTTCCTGCATCTGGAGGTGTAGATGTCTGTGATGGTGGGGAGACTGACTTCACCACTCTGCAAAGTTTTTCTTTCTGCAGCTGTGCAGCCTCCATGCCACATGTTGATGCTGGAGCACAGGATGCTCTCCACTGCACACCTGTAGAAGGAGGTGAGGACTGAGCTTCCTAGTCCAGCTCGTCTCAGCCGCCTGAGGAAGTAGAGTCTCTGATGAGCTTTCTTGATCAGGCTGGTGGTGTTGTTGCTCCAGCTGAGGTTGTCATTCATGTGTACACCCACGTACTTGTAGCTGGTGACCAGTTCCACCACAGATCCTCCTATGTTCGGGGGGAGTAGGTGAGTTTGTTCTGTCTGAAATCCACAACCATCTCCTTTGTCTTCTTCACATTGATGTGAAGGTTATTCTCTTTGCACCAGCTCTCCAGGTGTTCCACCTCTTACCTGTAGCTGGACTCGTTTGTGATGCATCACATCACCACTGTATCATCTGCAAACTTTACAATATGACAGTCTAGATGCGTAGGTGCACAGTCATATGTGAGCAGAATAAACAGGAGGGGGCTCAGCACACATCCCTGAGAGGAGCCAGTGCTGAGGGTTATGGTGAAGGAAGATAAATTGTGGATCCTCACTGACTGGTCTGTTTGTTAAGAAGTTCAGGACCCAGTTGCAAATGGAGGGGCTTAGTCCTGGTGTGAGTAGTTTGTCCATCAGGGTTTGGGGGATCATGGCAGATGTTCTAGCCACTCAGCCACAGCTGCCCCCACAAAAAAATAAAAATAAAATCCAGAGTTTACAGTTTGATCTGATTTCTTGTGTTTTAAGGGTTACTATGATAGATGTTTTCATTCCTTGGTTTTAATTTACTCCTGTTTAAATTGTATTAGTCTCATGTGAGACATGCTTTATTGACAAGTCTGTTCAACACTTTGGTCTGATGTGGCGTGTTAAAGTACTTTACAAATAATATGGGGCTGGATGTTACTGGACAAAAAGTCAGT